TATTATCCAGTAGACTAATCACCCCCAAACATGGTTTATCTCTTCTTTTCACCCAGAACTATGTTAATTTTGCCAATATAGATACTTTATGGAAACTCAGCTGGGTGAATATAACTCTGCCTGAAATCCTGTTGGCTTTCTATTCTGTTCTGTTCTGTTCTATATTTTATTCTATATTCTATGTTCTACTCTACTCTACACTATTTTTCTATTCTATTCTATTCTATTCTATTCTATTCTATTCTATATTTCAATTCTATTCTATTCTATATTTTAATTCTATTTTATTCTATTCTATTCTATTCTATATTTCAATTCTATTCTATATTTCTATTCTATTCTAGTCGAGTCTATTTTATTCTATATTTCAATTCTATTCTATTCTATATTTCTATTCTATTCTATTCTATTCTATTCTATTCTATTCTATTCTATTCTATTCTATTCTATATTTCTATTCTATTCTAGTCTATTCTATATTTCTATTCTATTCTAGTCTAGTCTATTCTATCATATTCTATTTTAGTCTATTTTATCTATATTCTATTTTCACTATTCTATTCTATTGTATTTTATATTTCAATTCTATTCAATTCTATTCTTTTCTATGTTTCTATTCTATTCGTCGAGTCTGTTTTATTCTATATTTCAATTCTATTCTATTCTATATTTCTATTCTATTCTATTCTATTCTAGTCTAATCTAGTCTATTCTATTCTATCATATTCTATTCTATTCTAGTCTATTTTATCTATATTTCTATTCTATTCTATTTTATATTTCAAATCTATTCAATTCTATTCTATATTTCTATTCTATTCTATTCTATTCTATTCTATGTTTCTATTCTATTCTATATTTCAATTCTATTCTATTCTATTCTATATTTCTATTCTAGTCTATTCTATTCTACTCTATTCTATTCTAGTCTATTCTATTTTATCTATATTTCTATTCTGTACTGTTCTGTTCTGTTCTGTTCTATTCTATTCTATTCTATTCTATTCTATTCTATTCTATTCTATTCTAAATATATATTAAAACAATACGGAGCAGTATTGCAACAGCCTGATGGTATTTGCTTTGTTTTAAGTTCCATGCTGAACATCACAGAACATATATATTATCTGAATAGTATGTTTAAACAAAGAAGCGTAATGAATATTTCTTTCCTAGAGAACAAAATTCCCCATTAGGCTCTGAATAACATCTTTCAACAGAGTTTAGTGGCTCCAGTTTTTCAAATCTGTTACATTTTTATCTGGAAACTTTTTTGACGTTAAGAATTGCTGAACTGTAGTCTTTCATTACGCTTTCTGCCAAAGTCTACGCCGAGCCGTCCAAGTGAAAAGCTGTACATTCTGCTAATTATTACCACATGCTTCCCATCTAAAGCAGTGGAAAACCTATCGGTTCTGACAGCCCATTCTCTCAACGCTGAATTCCGAAGGAAAACTCAACTTTTCCAGCCAAACATAACATGTCATCCATCTTGTTCTCCCGACTGCAAAGCCAATATCAAACACATAGGGGCTGCTAATGGCTTTTCGCGGTGCCGTTCCCAAACTCCGAGTCTCCGATGAGGGATGGAGATGCTTTTCCAAGGCATTTAGAAATTACAAACCAGGAAACAAATGCACAAAACCGAAGAGTCTGACCCCCGATGACAACATTCAACGCTGGTCAACAAACTGCCCAGGCAAAACCCGAAGAGATGAAGAGAGACAAACAAAGAAGGCATTTTGCAAAGTAAACAAATGAAAGGAAAGAAAAAAAAGAAACTCCAGAGATAAAAAAAAAAAATACATTTTGCCAAGGCCCAAAGCCAGCAGCGAAGCTTATAAACTAGCCGTCAAATGAAACAGGATGTGGGAATCTGAAGTTTAGGTCTACCAAGTCATTGAGACAACATCCTCTCACAAGCTGGATTCTTGAAAATGCCATTTATTCGTCTATGCAGAATGTGAGTCTCTTTCACTCTCTATTTGCACAGTTACCCTGCAGTAAGAAGGGCAGCCAATAAGTCTGATCACCAAACAAATAAAAATAAAACAGTACTTTATTCAATGTTCATTCAACTTAGACAGAAATGGTATCCAATTTCGGGTGAGTAAATCTCACTCTGTTCAATCAGGATACTCTAAACCAGGGGTAGGCAACCTTGGCTCTTTTATGACTCGTGGACTTCAACATGCTGGCTCAGGAATTCTGGGAGTTGAAGTCCACGAGTCATAAAAGAGCCAAGGTTGCCTACCCCTGCCCTAAACCACTTGCCTCCAGAAGCGGTGAATGCTCCAACACTGGAAGTTTTTAAGACGAGATTGGACAACCATTTGTCTGAAATGGTATAGGGTTTCCTGCCTGAGCAGCGGGTTGGACTAGAAGACCTCCAAGGTCCCTTCCAACTCTGTCATTCTATTTAAAAGAATCCAACTTGTCTTAAAAATCTTGCAGGCCCAATGCTAATCTTGAAGAAAAGATGAAATACGCAAATGCGATTGCCTAACTAACTCTTCCTCTCTTAGGAAGAGGACAAGTTGAAACTGAACTTGAAAAAAAAATCTAGCAAAATAAAAATAAAAAAAGTCATGATTAAGCCCTGGTTGAAAGCAAATGGATTAAGCCATAACTAGTATAACTCTTCTTTGATTCTGTTCATCGGGAATTGCAGATTTTTTTCAGATTCTGCTCATCGTCTTGCATTGCAGGAAATAGGTATCAAAACTCCGAGTAAACCCCCTATGGAGTAAATTCTGTAGTAACAGAAATATCCATTTCTTTAGAAACTCTTCATGTCCTTGCCTGAGGTCAGAAACATTAGCTTGTTGGGACAAAATCCATGAAGAGCTGTATCCAACTTTATTTTTCAACATGGATTATGCTCACCAGTTGAATGGGTTGAGAGCATGTAGTTATTTGTTAAAGTTACAAATGAAACATTTTTTTGGTGGAGCGATGAATTTATGCACATTCTGAAGCAATATGTTTCCATTTGTTCCATTTGTTTTAAATGTGTGCTGTGTACGTGTACACTTTGAGAGGAAGCAACTAAATTTCATTTTTAATGTGTGCCATTGTGCCCACAGGAAAAAATGTCAATAAAGGTTATCTAATCTAATCTAATCTAATCTAATCTAATCTAATGAGGTTTATGTAGAGCTCAATTGCAAAGGTCCTCATACTGAGGACATTAAGGTATTGATAAAAGTCACCAAATGTTTAGTATTAGATGGAACTCTCATAGCTATATACCTAATTCCGTGTTTCTCAACCTTGACAATTTTAAGGCATGTGGACTTCAACTCCCAGAATGCTGGCTGTGGAATTCTGGGAGTTGAAGTCCACATGCCTTAAAACACTGACCTAATTGGATAACCACTTTGGAAATATGCCAAGGGTATTTTTCCAAAAGGCAACTGAACTCCCTTGGTGTTTTCTTTGAAACATTTGAAACATTTCAACTCTCACCCAAGAAGCTTCTTCAGTTCTAACTGGATGAGAAGTCCAGTTGTCTTTTGGGGAAAAAAACCAGCTTTGGGACAACCATCACCTGGATGATTGAGCATCTCCAAAGATATGTCCATGGAGATTCTCCGTCATCCAGGTCATAGTTATCCCAAAGGTGCTATTTTTTTTTTCAAGAGGCATCTGAACTTTCTTGTTTTTCTTTGAAGATGTTTCACTTCTCATCCCAAGAAGCTTCTTCAGCTCTGACCCACTCCCCACCATCTGGTCAGATGAGAAGTGAAACCTCTTCACAGAAAAACAAGACAGTCCAGTTGCCTCCTGAAAAAGAATCTTTGGGATCTCCATAGACGCTTTGGACATATTTAATCTATATGATTATAACGATCCTTTTTGAAGCCCTTAAGTTTATATGGCTGTGTGCTCTGAACAACTGGGAGTTTTGAAGAATCAATAGTTCTGCAGGAGCATAACAAGAGGGACATCTATCCTGTTGATCAGGAATCTGGTGAATTTGATGATTGGTTAAAAGCAGGGGGGTCTTCAAACTTGGCCCTTTTATGACTTGTGGACTTCAATTCTCAGAATTCCTCAGCCTCAGTTGAAATCCACAAGTCATAAAAGGGCCAAGTTTGAAGACCCCTGGTTAAAAGATATATATGTTGAGATGGCAGAATTAAAGTTTAGGCCTCACTGGATCCTATAGAAAGTTCCACAAGAAACCACTGGCTGTGGGTTTGTCTTACACTGTATTTGGGGTTCTTCCAATTTAAGGGAGAACCCACCTTTGTTCATCTGAATAAATGTGTTTGGTTTCTCAAGACACATTTCATTGTTACCGAGTCACACCTGAACCCCTGCGTAACAATCCTCCCAAGACGAACACACAGCAGGTACTATAGATATTATTGGCGACTCAGAAAAACAATCACAAACGTTTCCATAAAATAAGGTGTCACTCCTTAATGCCATCATCTGAGTAGAGCATCAATTATAATTGCAACAGCAATTATTTTCAGGTTGTGCAAACTGCGTGCTGCCATTATACACCATTTAAGTCTAAAACGAGGAGGCTTGTATTCACACATTCACACATTCTGGTGCGAGATAAACTCCCTGGGGACGGGGAGCACGAATCCAAAAGCTTGGAAGATTAAACCTGGATCAGATCCTGCAGCTTGGGAAAGGTATGAGATTTGATGACCACCAAATACACTTATCCCTGAAAAAGAATTGGGCGGAGGGTGTCTACATTGGGGGTCAAGTTCCACTTGGTCTCACAGTTTGGCTCTCTCATTATTTTTTTTTCGGTACTTTCAACTTACTTTCTGCCTCTGGTTGAATTAAAAGTCCCGCCGTATTTCTTCCGATTAAGGATGAGAGCCGCAATTTCCGGCACGTAGCGCGCAAACATTGCCTACATGCATGAAAGAATAGCAAAAAAAAAAAAGAAAAGAAAAGAAAAGAAAAAGAAAAAATGGCATGCAGAGAGTGTTCTGCCACACCAAAAGCAGCAGAGTCCTTTGAATACTTACTTTCTTCCACTAACCGCGCTATAGGACCCACCATATTTCTTGCGGTTTCCTATTAACTCTATGATTTCAGGCACGTAACTGGCAAACATGGCCTAAAGGAAGAAGACAGGAGACAGAGAAAAGACTAAAAAGAGAGGTCAAAGGAAGGGGAGGGGCCGTTGGATTTTTTAAAGAAGATACATCATCCTTACGATCTGGAAATGCAAGGCACGGGTCTAGTCAAGTCTTTCCTCCAAAATCAAAAACAAGAAAAAAAAAGATTGCAAAAAAAAAAAAAAGTGTTCGTCTCAAAACAAGTGTCGGTCTTGGTAAATAGGGAGAAACACCGGCTCAGCTACAGAACAACGGTCCAAAGAGGGAGACGGGAATGAAAATTAATAATAATAATAATGCAAAAAAGAAAAACAAGAAACAAAAAAAATGAGAAGAATAAGAACAAAATAGAGTCAAAGTGACATTCAAGGGATTAAAACAGGGCCATGGCTGGTGTTTTCGGAAAGGGGTGAGTGGCATTTTCCAAAATATTTACTCTCCAAAACACTCCACAAAGCCATGTTTTGGGTGCTTGCATTGCAATTGGTATTTTAGGCAAGACAGAGGAAGGTTTTTTTTTCACCTCCTGTCAATGATTTACCAAACAAAACGCAGAATGGTTTTTCTGCACCATGAGAATGAACGTGATATATATATATATTTTAAGTTCATCTTTTTTAAAAGATGGGTAAGAAAATGTAAGGATGTAAAAGGGAAACAAAGGCAACGAGGAGAAAAAAATGTATTCTGCCATGTTTTGTCCAACAAACATTTTGCTTGTGGCTGGATGCCTCAAAGAGCTGCTGCCACTAAGGTGAGCCTCAAGATCTACCTTTTCAACAAGGGAAGGAAAATGCACAAAAAGATTTGATGCATAATCACTAAAATGAGAGGTGTGCCTGTCTACATATACACACCTTCATTATCTTTAGATCTGCAATACAGGAGTGTCCAATCTTGGCAACTTTATGACTTGTGGACTTCAATTCTGGGGTCTAGGCCAACTCACCATAGCCAATTCACCAGGCCAACTCATCATGGTCAACTCATGGCTAAGTCACCATGGCCAACTCATCATGGTCAACTCACCATGGCCAACTCACCATGGCCAACTCGTCATGGCCAACTCACCATGGCCAACTTGTCATGGCCAACTCACCATGGCCAACTTGACAGGGCCAACTAGCTGCAGGACATTGCTGGACAAGAATAACACTAATATCAAAGAAATGGTGGAATAGAATAATTTAAAAAAGGATGCAAAAGGAGGGACAGAATGAAATGTGATCAATAAAAATTGAAATATTTTTTTTATTTATTATAAATTATTAAATTGAATTGTTAAATTGTTCCGCAGTGAGTTGTCCCATGGCAAGTCGGCTGTGGCTAGTTGTCCCATTCCCTCAATTCTGGGACTTGATGTCTACAAGTCATAAAGTTGCCCAAGGTTGGAGATCCCTGCGGCAGTATATACTGTATATAGGTTTACATACTCATGCACAGGCACATCTCTACATGCACATCTTGAGTTGAAGAAGTCACTTCCCTTATAATTCAACCTGAACATTGGCTGATTTTTTTTTCTAGGACCAAAATGCAATGGCTGCCAGAAATTTATTCCACTGCGGGGGAAAATGGCAGTTTGTTCAGGGACAATATCTATATAACAGGGTCAACTTTCCTTCAGCATCCTCAGCACCACCTCTGGAGTATCTGCAAGCTAAGAGGGCAGTTGCATCCAGGCAATCCAAACCTATCTCCTTGGAGAAGGGCACCCTACAAATTTTAATTATCCAGAATATAGCTGGACTTTCTTTTCCTTTCCCCAACATCTCTCTGGGAAGCGTTCTTTAGCCAAATTTCTGTTGGGAAATTTGCACTACTTTAGCCTCTTCTTGGGTTGCTGCTAAGAAGGATGTGAATTCGCCTTTCCCACTAGCTGGGAAAAAAAGAAAGAAAGAAATCCTTGCAACAGCTCTTTCGGGAGGATCCTAAGCCACAGTGTTTGTTGGAATGTTGGGAAGGAACACAAAAGGGAAGGTCTTGAAACCGCAACTAATTTTATCTGGACTGTTACCAGCACCCCAATATTAACCACTAGGCCAAATGTCTGTGCACACTTTCAAAATAATTTCACTGGACTAGTTCATCCTCCAAGACCAATCTCTCCCTGCTTTTCATTAAAGCTTCCCCCCCCCCCAATTTTATTTTCCCTTTGGCCTTCCGCCCAGCTTCAGAAAAGTTACATTGCTTTAAGGAATGTCCTCATTAACATTAACACACACAGCCCTGAGCCTTTGAAAGCAGTGGCACTTTTGCTGGGAAACCTGCAAAAGAAGAAACGGTCGGTTTCATGGTTACGTTTCCTCCTGGGCTCAAATGTACACCCAGGTAGTCCTCGCCTTACAACCACAACTGAGCCCCAAACCTCTGTGGCGAAGGAGACAGATGTTAAGTGAGTTTCACCCCATTTTACAATCTCTCTTGCCACAGCAAGAATGTAAGGGATAATAAGATCAGAAATTGTTTAATGAGCTTACGAAGAAAATTAATCCTGAGCTTAAGCATAGTAAAATGGAAGTTACTCAGACATGTAGCTTGTTCTTAGGAAGTCAGCCATCACCGCAAGCAGAGGAAATACAAAAATAAAGATAGAGCTTATGCTAGAAAAAGTAGGTCATAGTCAACACAATAGGTATAGCTGCAAGGTTCTTTTTCCTGGGAGGGGGAAAAGAAATGTATTCTGTTTAGGTGCTTCGGATTAGCTGATCTGGATGCGCAGGTAGGCTGTTCAGTGTGATAGGGGTGGGGGGGGGGACCAGCTTTGTGAGAGGGTATAAATATGTGCTTTTTAAAACTGTGGGTGTGGCTTTTCCCCCTGCGCGAATTAAGTCCACCAGCTTTTGCAAAAGCTTTATCCAAATAAAACTTTGTTCTTGGAATTCCAATTGAGTTTGTTTGTCTTTTGGAACCTTGAGTCATGTCCCAGACCTGGAATCACCGCAGTTGTGAAGATAATAACACGGTTGTGAAGTGAGTCCGCCTTCTCCAGTTTAACTTTGCTTGTCAAAAGGGGAATCACGTGATTCCGGCAGAGTTCAATCATTGTCAAGGTGAGCCCATTGCCAAGCACCTGAATTTTGTCACAAGCGTGAAGAGTTGTTACAAGTCAACTTTTTTCAGCACCGTTGTATCTTCAAACGGTCATTAAACAAGCTGTTGTGAGCATAATGGTTTCCCTCCTCCTCCCCAGACTCACAGTTTGCTGGTCGGAAGGTCACAAAAGGAGATCGATCCCGTCACACACACACACACACACACACACACACACACACACACACACGGGGCATTGCAACCATCATAAATATGAGTCAGGTGCCAAATGTCTGAATTTTGATCACAGGACCCTGGGGATGACACAACGGTTGTAAACGTGAAAAACAAGCATACGTCACTTTGTCCAGTGCCGTTGAAACTCTGAACGGTCACTAAATGAATTGTTGTTAAGTTGAGGATTGTCTGTATTATATGCGGAACTGCTAAGTTTATAACTAAGGCATTGATCTGATGAACCCAACACACTGAGCAAATTGGGGTACCATGCAAGGGAAGATTCACTCACTACCTGATTACCAGCTCTTTGTGTTAACCCATTTGTAGTTTATCCTTTTAATTCCTTCAATCCATCTTCTTCCAAAATCCGACAACTTGCAGTCCTCAGCATAAAACCATTCGTTTCATGACGTTACAACTGCACTGAAAAAAGGTGACTCGTTTTTCGCACACAGGAGTACGGCAGTATCCCCCTGGTCATGCGGTCAAAGTTCAGACAATTGGCCTGTATTTATGATGGTTGCGTGATTATCGTTTGCAAACGTCTGAAGATCCAAGTCACTGGGGAAGGCGGATTGAGTTAACAACCGTGTTACTAACTGAACGGATGCAGTGATTCACTTAACAACAGGAGAGATTGTAAAGTGGGACAAAACTGACTTAAAAATGTCCTGCTTAGTAACGGGCTCAATGGTGGTTGCAAGTAAAGGACTACCTTTAGGCACTGATTTTTTTTAATTGATAAGATTGCAAGAGTAATCGATCAACCAACTGCTACTCAATGGGCTCATGAACATGAACAGCAGGCAGAAGCTTTGATCTTTTGTGTTTCCAAAGGATTTTCAAAGTGTGCCCAGACCTCCTTGCTTAATGCTCTGGATTCTTAAAGTTCTAACTATCCTTGCTATCTCTGCAAGCATTACATCTGTAAGTATATACATTATCCCTGTATTTTAGTTCAGTTACTAGCTCTTCAAAATGCAATACAACGGGAAATGTATTTTGAAGTCATAAGTTACATTAAATATATGTATGTATATATATATGTGTATATATATATGTGTATATATATATATATATATATATATATATATATATATATATATATATGCAGAATATAACATAAATGTTTTACCAATCCCCCAAGGATGAAGAAAACCATAAAAAGGCGGCCCAGGGTTGTTTTTGCATAAACATCTCCGTAGCCAACGGTGGACATAGTAACCATGAGCAAATAAACACATTCCCAATATGTAAGTGGTTGGTTATTTTGGAAGTTTTCCCATGGATCCCCTGAGTTCTCCACCTATAACAAAAGGAACACAGCGAATTAAATACATCATTGCCTACAATGCAACACGTCCATTCATGAACTTATCAGTACATAACTAATAACTTCAAGGAGAGAAAAAAAACGCAACGCAGATATGATCTTGTTGAACAGTTGAAGCCAATTTCTCTGTTCTTAGCAAGGCAATTTCAGCAATACAGCTCTAATGAAGTGGAGGGATCTTAACTTTAACAACTCAATGGACAGCGATAAAACAAGTGCTTTTCTTTATATCAAATCAGTTACATTATACAGGGGTTGGCGTGTTCCAAATACAGAATCCTGTTGAGGGGGAAAGAAAGTTAAAATAGTAACCACTGTTAACGCTAAGAGAAGAACATGATCACAATCTGGAATTTCTAGAAAGATAATCTAGTAACTTATAAACGATGACTGCATTAGAAATATGCAACTATGTTTAACTATATCTGACATTTAGAACTACCTGTAATGGTGGATTCTAATGTGGGTTTTCAAGAAAGTCAAGATGGAATCTATAGCCACTAAACTGGGCTTTAACCACATGGTTACAGTACGATTAGAGGTGACATGATAGTAGTCTTCCAAAATTTGAGGGGCTGCCACAAGTGGGGGTCAACCTATTCTCCAAAGCACCTGAAAGCAGGACAAGAAGCAACGGATGGAAACTAATCAAGGAGAGAAGCAACCTGGAACTAAGGAGAAACTTCCTAAAAGTGAGGACAATCAACCAGTGGAATGACTTGCCTCTAGAAGTTGTGGGTTCTCCATCACTGGAGGTTTTTAAGAAGAGACTGGACAACGATTTGTCTGTAATGGTCTAGGGTCTCCTGCTTGAGCAGAGAGTTGGACTAGAAGACCTTCAAGTTCCCTCCCAACCCTATCATTCAATGTTCTGTGTGTTTTTGGTGGTCCACCTACTGTAATCCTATCCACAAAACTTTGTGCCCAAGCTACTCTTTGAGTTAGTCTCTAAGAATCACAAAATTCCTCCATGTTATAGCAGCAAGTAGCTACCACAATAATTATCACTCAAGACCATATTTCAACTCACTAAAGAAAAGACAAAGTGAATTGGTCCACCCCCTCAAATCAGGAATCTGGTAGGATCTATCTCCAAAGAGTAGTTCATAAACATATTGGGCATTTAATCCTTAAAGGAGAGGATGTGTTAAATTACTTTAATTCAGGCTGCAATCTACGCTAATCCTCAGGAGAAAATGGGTGTTGTGTACATCCATAGATTGTAAGCCTTGTATATAAAATTCTTCACATTTTACAAGAGATTGTCTTGTATCTGCCATCATATTTTCATTTTTGTTTCTAAGCCCACACTGCCACTTAGTGGCTTGTTGTTGTTATTGTCAAATTCAGTAAAAGTTCTCCAGAACTTCAAAATTAGACTCCAAAATTCCTAACTTCCTCTTCCGGTTCCAGGCAAAGTAGTTGTGGGCTTTGAATACCAGACAACATCAGGTTTTTTTTTTCTCCCATGCTCATTTTCTCCTCTTCGAAGAATTTCTCCATGAGAGACATGATTTAATAATAATATTTAATAAAAAACAGGAGTCCTGCATTAAAAATCTGAAAATGGCATACCGTATGACTGGGGGAAATATGCTCCAATACAGAATTTCTCAACCTCAGCAACTTTAAGCTACGGGGACTTCCACTCCCAGAATTCCTCAGCCCCATGCTGGGAACTCTGGGAGTTGAAGTCCTCGTAGCATAAAGTTGCTGAAGTTGAAAAAAGCACCAATCTATTACTTTTTTCTGAACAGTAATACATAGGGATTTATTAAACCATTAATCTCTTTGCAAAGAGTGTTCCCACCAAACATCAAGAAGAAATACATAGTGCGTTTTTTTTAAAAAAAATGATGTATAAGTGGATTATCTCATAATAAATCTAAACCTCCCCAAATAAGCAGGGTCTTTTTTGAGGCATACTTACCAAATGTATAAATCCAGCTGCTGTCAGCCAGGTGCTAATAAATATTGAGCACAGATTCACTAACTTGATGGAATTACTGGTGGAAAAAAAGGAGAAAAACAAACAAATTCTTCTCAGAGTTTGCTTTAAAAAAAAACTGAAAGATTCTCTAGCTTTTTTCAAATCTTCCTTCCTGAAAAAAAAATTCATAAACCTTTCCTTTCAAGTGACACATCAGTTTCTCAGCATAAGAAAAAAAAATCATATCGGTTTATTGAATGTGCCTTTCAATCAACAAAGGATATCCGTAAAATGAGACAGCCTCTAAGTGAATTGTTGGAAGCCCAGTAACTATATATGCAAATGAACAGTTTTGATTATTGTTATTTAATCATTACGGTACCTGGTTTATGAAAAGAAACATGCTATCGCAAAATGGAGATATTCTTTTTAATAGTTTTGTTCAATTGTTTTTAGGTGAGCCAGGATTATTCAGAATAGCTTTCTGGACTTTAAAGGAGAAAATTGATGTTTTGTCTTTTCAGTCCCAATTCTAAAAATAGGTGGATTAATCTTCATTTTTTTTCCTTCCCTTTAAGCTGTCGGAGACATCTGTGCTGTCCCTAATTCTGCTTGAGCTCAGCCTAAACCCCTGAAGTTTTAGTGAATCCTCATTTAATTCAGGAAAGGATAGAACATAGTAAGGGGATAAATAAATGTAAGAAGTAAGAATGAGGGGAGGAAAACAAAACCACCTATTTTTAGAAACTATATCTATCTATCTATCTATCTATCTATCTATCTATCTATCTATCTATCTATCTATCTATCCACTCTCTTCCTATATTATCTATCTATCTATCTATCTATCTATCTATCTATCTATCTATCTATCTATCTATCTATCCACACTCTCTCTTCCTATATCATCTATCTATCTATCTATCTATCTATCTATCTATCTATCTATCCACACTCTCTCTTCCTATATCATCTATCTATCTATCTATCTATCTATCTATCTATCTATCTATCTATCTATCTATCTATCTATCTATCTATCTATCTATCTATATTGTGCCTTACCTTGTTTTAAGAATATTCAGGAACTGTAAGATTTCTGAGAACTGAATCAGCCTAAGAGCGCGCAAAAATCTTAAACCTGTAATTCAAACAGAAAAAAAAGGAGTCAAAGAAACACTGTACATTATTAAAGATATTGCTTTATTAAGAAATGTTTATAGTGTCATGAAATACTTGTGCCGTAGAGTTTCTCACAGGGGTAAAGTTATATTAGGTATAACACACCTACATAAAAAGGAAGAAAAGTTTAAAGAATAGTTAGAAAAATAATAATAGTTTCGTATCACAACTGGAAATGAAGTCAACCGCTGAAAATACAGTGTGCCTTGATACAAATCTGGGAAAAGTCAGTTTTTCGCTTTCGTGCCTGCAAGACCAGTCTCATATCTGTGAAATATTCATGTCGGAGACGGGTGACTTAATGTTGCTTGCCATGGGCCACTTCAGGAAAAAGCCTTTGAAAAGAGGTCTAGGTTAACTCGCCACAGCCAAATCAGCATGGCCAATTCCCATCAGACAAATCTCTGTGATCAATTCCCCATGGGACAATTCAACACAGGATTAGATCTTTTTATTATATTGTAAGGCAGGGCTCTTCAAACCTGGACCTTTTACAACTTGTGGACTTCAACTCCCAGAATTCCTCAGCCAGGCACGCATGTAAAACATAATAAAATTAAAGTAATGGTGCAAAGAGTTGACTGGTTGCCCAGAAAGCGATGTAAAATAGAATTGTTAAGTGAACAAGGCTGCAGTTATAAAGAAATTAGAAGGAAAAAATGGGTGGAAACTTAACCACAGGTGGCATTTCTACGGTACGCTTTCCCCAAAAGGTTTCCACAATTTTGGCCACTACTGTATGGTCCAGCTGCATTTGTGCATCTCTTGGTGACAATGCGGTCGGAAAGGAAGGTCATTTTATTACACAAAGAGCAATAGGCCATTTACTGTTTTAACATAAATAAAGAAACAAACAAATAAAAATATGCAGCACGGGTTGGGTGTTTGGAAAGTTCCCGAAAGATTTTCCAAAGCGGTATTTGCACAATCATTTTATCAAACTCCCAGGTTTTTATGGAAGAAGTAGCTACTTACTTGTATCCCCCTTATTTATGTTTTTTTTTTTACTTTGCAACTGATACACTATGTATTGAGGAAATAATGGCAGTGCAATCCCCTTCGCTATCTAAATGAGTTTGTCTTATGAAGAAGAAGCAGTTTCCTGTATTTAGGATATAATAGTGATATAAAACAATGATATCAGGAATCTGGCATACACTGAACAGGATTCTAAACTCTTGAAACAGAACACAACTGCTGTTATTCTGTGGAATAACCCAGAATGATAACCCATCTTGACCAAGGGGTAGTTTATTTTCATTATAATCAGTACAGATTAAACAAATACTTGTGCTAATTTTTATTCCGGAACAAATTGTTTCGTTTAAAGTGTTTTTGTTTAGAAAATTCCAATTTGCTGTTTAATTAAAAAAAAACGCTTTGATCCTCCGCTTTGCCTCATCTAGAGTTCATTTCATCCAAAATCCGAACAACCACAGCGTTCCAGGTTTCCTTTCTGCCAAACTAATGCAGAAGTTCTGGAATGAGAACAAATTGGTTTTCTAACACTGTGCTCATTTCCAACAACCCAGTTTTTGAAATTAGGGTGTGGAGAATCCCGTAGAAAGGAGAAGACCCAGGATATATATAAACTGAAGATGAAATTAAAGTAAAGAAGCTTGCTGGAGGAGAAATCACTCACTTGCTCAGATTTGAGGCTAAGGGCTCAAACATTGGCAAGGAAGACCTACTGGAAGATCTCAGTCATACCTTAAAAATTTATGCCGGCTTTCGAGAATGTAGAGACATCCCTAAAATGTTTAACCGAGCAATCCACTTTAACAAGGTTATTTTTAATTAAAAATAAGTAAGAACAGTTTTACCTTTCTGTGTAGATTAAAAGTAACAGGTATGAAATGGAAAAAAGGGAGAGGGGAATCATGGAATATCTATGTTTGGAATATCCAAGTTGTTCCACTGAACAATTAACCAGTGGAACCACCTGCCTCCAGAAGTTGCAAATGTTCCAACACTGGAAGTTTTTAAGAAGAGACTGGACAGCCACTTGTCTGAAATGGTGTAAGGTTTCCTGCCTGAGCACGGGGTTGGACTAGACAACCTTCAAAGTCCCTTCCAACATCATCATCACCATCATCATCTTCATCATCATCATCATCATTCATTAGACGTGAACCTCAGTCAACTGAACATTCAAATTGACCGGCGCTGATGGTTGACACGGGTTGCTGCCAGCATCCTAGATATCAACCAGGTACCTCCTTAAAATGTAAGATGTTCCGAATAGTGCAGTTTTTATTATTATTACTATTATTATATTATTACTATTATTATTATTATTATTATCCAGGTGGGGGTAAGAAAAAGAGATATTTCAAGAAAGAAAGATGATCACCGTTTGAAGAGAAGGATTATTTACATTTTTAAATGATTCCCCATCAAAGAATAATTCTTCTTTTAAGAAAGGATAAGAGAAAAGCATAGCTGTGAGAAATAACGTTTACATAAATAAAATACCACTGGGCTAATCTTGCTAAAATATCTCAGTCAAGCCTTTTTTCCCTCTCCATTTCTGTTATTAAAATATTTTTTCTTTGGCTTCACAAATTAGGAGGAAGGGGGCAAGGGGGAACCCTCTGCTCCCAATTGATATGAAAACACTTCATCTTGCAAATAACTCAGTTATTGCTTTAGACAACAGTCACTCGGTCAGCTTCTTACCCCAGTGATAGCCAATTCTGGAATAAGAGCCCAGAGTCTGTCGAAATGTATGTGGCTCTTCCTTTCCAAGGTTATTATGCCCAGATTTGACACGATATCCATTTTTAAATAAATCTCCGTAGGACTTCTTTCGGCGAGGTTTAAAAGTTTCCGTGCGGGCACCCCCGGAAGGGATGTTGTAGACCAACATCTTGCTGGGAATCATCACAACAACAACACCACTTGGAAGGATCGGCCCAAAAAAAAAAAAAAAACACAAAACCCCGTTATTTCCTTCTGAGATTTAGAGAAAGGCTACCGAGGATCAGTTGTTCATCCCAAAATTTTGGGCAGGATCAAGGGAATGAGATATCCTGCTTCTGACTTTATATCAAAAAAATATATATATTTTAGGACGGTTGGAGGAAAATGCATTTCTGTTCCTTCAGTCCTTCTGCTCCCTAAAATCTGAAAAAGACTGCCAAAGCAGGTCTGAGTTGTTGATGGGAAAACGGATCTTGTTTTGATATCTACAATATCACGGCTTAAAAGGCATTCCCTATCCGGATATTGCAATATAATCTTCTTTCATACCCTCTCCAAAATGTATCCATCCAGCTGGAGAAATCAAAACAGATTATCACTCTGGAGAAGGGAGATGAACAAGCCCACGATAAACAGTGTCCGGTTGTCCCAGAGAGGGCTTATGGGTTGTGCAAAGGTCACAATTTGTGTTTTAATTCACACAAATCGAGGCCAACTTTCACTGTTCCTCATTTAAAGGGAACTATAATATCCCGAATGTTTTAAGCCACGCTAGGCACAGAAGTAAAATTTCAATAGGTTGGAACAATCAGCCTTCACAACACCCCACAACCTTTACTTGATTGTTTTTTCAGAGCATGGCATTTTATAATATAGCAGAATTGGTGGGTCTCCGCAAAGGAGCATTTTTAGCATTTTATCCTATGTTAGACACGCACAGAGAGAGCAGCTCTCTCATTATCGCTAATAGATTATGTGGCAATATAAAGTCTCTGTTTAACTAAACACCTAATATGGTACGAAATGGTTTAGAAAACAGTTTGTACCCATATTCAGTGACAACGATGGCATGATGTTCTGAAATGTCTAGACACACCGCACAAAATAAAACAAGAGGAACTCAAATCATGTTCCCAGCAATGATGAATCCTGCACACCATCGCCCTCCCATGGCTTATAAAAGCGGAATAAGAGAAGAGAAAAAGAACAGGAAGATAATGCAAAGTGGGACACATTTTGTTAATAATATTTTTTCAAGAAATGTGCAACATGTTCTGGATCGGAGCGCTGCGTCTCCGGTGTTCAAGAGCTTGGAACAAAACACAAAGACAAAATCTTCTAGAATCAACAACCTGAGATGAATTATGCGATGTTGCTTCCCATTTGCAAATAGTGCTATTTCTTTTAATTAAAAATAAAATGCACGGATTGTAATTTTCTAGCTGCTGCTATTATTATTGTTGTTGTTGTTGTTGATCATCGCACAGTCAGCCAGATGTTCAGACTGGATTTGGCATTTTTGTCTACCTGTCAAGTCCTTACCAAGGACCTGGGATAGGCAGATGTGGATGTTTGATGGTATTACAGATATCGTCGCAGGATGGAAGCAGTTCCCAGTAAGGCTGCCTTTTGCAATTGACTAATGGCGAATTTGTCAATGCCAATGGTGTTCAAGTGGTGCTCCAGTTGTTTTGGGATTGCACCCAAGGCGCCTATGACTATTGGTAATACCCTTGCTTGCTTTTGCCACAATCTTTCTATTTCTATTTGTAGGACTTTGTATTTTGTGATCTTCTCCAGTTCTTTCTCGTCTGTTCTGCTCTCTCCAGGCACTGCCATGTCCACTATCCAGACTTTTTTGTCTTTCTTTTTGACAATTGTTGTTGTTGTTGTTGTTGTTGTTATTATTATTATTATTATTATTATTATTATTATTATTATTCACGTGAAGTTCCTAAATCATTCTAACCTTTTCGTCTGTTCAGGGCTTCATCTGAGATAGACAACTTCAAGCAGAACTATATTTTATTTGTTGACATCAAATTTGGAGAGCACCCATTTCATGCACAAAGCGATTCTGGGTGGTAGCCAATTAAAACACAGGAACCCTATCAATAGCGTACAGGTAGTCCTTCGGCTTATGATCCCTTGTGTTGCAAAGTGAGACATTTCTTAAGTGAGCCTTGCCCCAATTTTGAGACTTTTCTTGCCAAAGTTGTTAAGGGAACCATTGCCATTGTGAAATTAGTAATCCGGTCGTTAAACGAATACAGCTTCTTGACTCTGCTTGTCAGAAGGTTGCAAAAAGAGACCTGCAACCGTCATAAATACGAGTCAGTTGCCGAACACCTGCCAACCACGGGGATGGCTGCAATGGCGGTAAGCGTGAAAAACAGTCATAAGTCATTTCTTTCCTGCCATTGTAATTTTGAACGGTCACTAAAGGAACTGTTGTAAGTTGGGGACTACCTATATTCCAATGGGAGGCAGTGAAAATAAGAATAGAATAATTTAAAAGATGGGAGGAGGCAGATAAGGTGCCCACTAACCCCAAAATTGTGGGCTCTAATACTGTCAGCAGAGCTGGGTTTCAGATTCTTCCAAAAGGCCAGAAGAATGGGACACACACACACACACACACACACACACCTCCTGGGGAAGAATAGGACACACATATTCACATCTATTAAGATATAATTGATTAACAAACAACCAATTCACCTTCAGAATGGTTTGCAAAAATGTTCACGTTCCTTTTTAGCTAAGGAATATCTTTTACATTCTTCCCCAGACTGTAAAAAAAAAAAAAAAATAAAGTAAAAAAAAAAAAAACTTAGAAAGTAGAGGACATTGTCTTTAATATTAACCACCCATCTACTATCTGGACATCTCTTTTGATAGAGTTTGAGTGGTTGATTTGATTTGGCAAGTCAAATCAATTTGATTGTGAGTCCTCCAAATCAGATCGTTGAACTGGATCAGATTAAACCGTTGATCCAGTTCAGGAAAAGGGCATCCAATTCAACTCAACCATTCCAATTGCCTTAGTATGGCATTGTGAATCCAATTCTTGCCCAGCTGAAAGGGAGAATAAATGAACTAACTTCTGTGGACAACTTGTAAAGTCCCTTACTAAGACCCAAACATTTTTGCCCGGATCCTCAAAAGAGACCAACATCATTTACAATGGTCCTACAAATTTGGGTTTACTTTTCTCCCTTTCTTCCAGCTTTCCTTTTATCAGCTTCAGAAATCCACCCCTTCACCCGAATCTACTTCCATATGTACCTCAAAAAAGGTAACTTCTCTCTCTACAAATTAATGAGCTCAGACTTATGACTTATAGTGCAGAAAATATAATGAAAAGACTTATATTGCAGAGAAGAGTAGCAAAGATGATTAAGAGACTGGAGGCTAAAACATATGAAGAACAGTTGCTAGAATTGGGTATGTCTAGCTTAATGAAGAGAAGGATGAGGGGTGACAGGATAGCAGTCTTCCAGTATCTCAGGGGTTGCCACAAAGAAGAGGGAGTCAAGCTATTCTCCAAGGCGCCTGAAGGCAGGACAAGAAGCAACGGATGGAAACTCATCAAGGAGAGAAGCAACCTGGCAAAATTTCCTAACAGTGAGAACCATCAGTGGAACAGCTTGTCACCAGAAGTTGTGAATGTTCCAACACTGGAAGTTTTTAAGAAGAGACTGGACAGCCATTTGTCTGAAATGGTACAGGGTTTCCTGCTTGAGCAGGGGGTTGGACTAGATGACCTCCAAGGTCCATTCCAGCTCTATTATTCTATTATCCGTTATCCCACTCTCAAAAGGATTTTAGTGACCATCAGTTCTGGAAATTCCCACAACTCGCATTCCAAGAGCAGGAAAGGGGGGGGGAGCCACAAAAAAACCCCTCAACTATTCTCCTTTCCTATATGTATGCAAACTACAGATGTTATAAAGCCAGGAAAGAGTGAAATAGAGATAGTCGGCTGAATATAGAATAACAGACAATAATCAGTCATAGTTATATCAGACAGGGCTATCATAGGAAAGTGAAAAAACGTATCCATAAAACTACACGGGCTATCAAGGAAGCCAACAGAAGCTGAATTTTACCTTGAAGGTGACTTTCCATCAAATAACAAAGCTGTGCAGTGATCTGGACACAAAGGTGATTCAGAGTGTGAAAAAAGTGTTCACTTGCCCAGCAACTCCTTAATAACAGCGCATCGCTTCCCGAATTTGAGTGACAGCAGGAAAAGCGAAACTAAATTGGAAGTTTTCCTCCAAGTATGAGGATTTGTTTTCTCCCCCCCCCCTTCGTGGACGGAGCCGCTGAGGCTACACGTTCGAACGTTCAGATCTTTTCATGCCAAGGCAATATGGACAAATTAATCCTTGCAGTTGTGTTTGTGCTGCGTGTGTCCATGTGTTAGAAACTGCATGGGTCAGGAGAGAAGGGAGCCAATCTGTTGCTTCCTAGCAAGCTTTGGAAATCATCTCCAGAAGGATTTCAGCGTAGTATTTATTCCCTTCGTTCATCACTGCCCTGCTGGAGTGGCCAACACTCAACATACGACACACAACTCAGCCCCAAAATTCAGGTTGCTAAGGGAGGCATTTGTTAAGCAGGTTTTGTCCCATTTTACGGACTTTGCTCACCACGTTTGTGAAGTGAACAGCTGCAGTTTCTTAAATTAGCAACGTTGTCCTTAAATCAATCAGGTTTCCCCGTTGACTTGGCTCGTCAGAAGGTCGCCAAAAGGGGAATCACTAACCCCCCCCCCGGGGTCACTGCGACCGTCATCAATGTGAGTCGGTTGCCAAGCATCGGAATGTAAATTGTGTGACCGTGAAGGAGGCTATAACGGTCGTAAGTGTGAAAAACGGTCACAAATCACTTAATTTCAGTGCTGTTGTAACTTCAAACGGCCTTGTAACTCTTGTAAGTCAAGGACAACCTGTATAAAGGTTATCTCCTTTAATTACTCTAATAAACCTGTAGAAAGATTTCACTATCTACCCACAGATAAAAAGTTTGTCTTTAAGCCATTGCCTAATCCAGGTGTCTTCAAACGTGGCCCTTTTATGATTCGTGGACTTCAACTCCCAGAATTCCTGAGGCAGCCACGCTGAGGAGAAAGGGAGAGGTTTCCAAGCTGAGCCATGCTGGCTGAGGAATTCTGGGAGTTGAAGTCCACCAGTCATAAAGGGGCCGAGTTTGAAGACCCCTGGCCTAATGGTTAGGAGAAAAGGTCTGCTTCCATCCCCCCTCTCCCCCGCCGGCCCCATCCATTGCATACATGGGAGCTGATCTTATTTCATCACAAGAAATGACAAGTACACTAAATGGAGGAGTCCAGCTTAGGACGTGTCCTGCAGCCTAGAGTCAGCTCTGTTTATGAAGAGAAGGAAGAGGGAGCAGCTCCAAAGAAATGCTTGTTAGGACTGTCATGGCTGTTTTCCAAACCATTCATAATCGGCTCTCTCATTTTTCCT